CGACGTATACTAGACAACTATTTCTTCTCTGTACTTGACTCTTTAGTAGTCCGTACTCATGACTTCAACGACTATCGAACTCAGGACCTTCAGGTTTAGTAACAAACGCTTAATCATTGTATCCTAGTCACAGAAGTTACTATTTTACTATTCAAATCCTATTCGAACATTACCATCCTCAATAGTGTGAATACGGTTTGCTTGTTTGTATCGACTAACATAAAAGTCTATCTGAAAGGTCTTCAATGGAATACATGTAATCACCTGAGAAAGCGATGAAGTATTTTACTACAAAAATAATCAGACTCAATCATATGTGTAATTTCGAATAATCAGCAAATGATAGCTGTCAGTCTTTTAGTTTCATTTCTTCTATTTTTTAAATTTTTCATGATATTTCTGGTAACAATGAATTCTTGATTAAATTATGTAAATTAATTTTTTCAAACATTTAGGTAGACAAGTAGAGTAAATAGCAATGGAAAACAGGTCGGTCGTTCCTTCCTATTTAGGACTTGTCTATGAGATGTACCTGCCTCCTACTATCAATGAATAAATTGGTAGCAATCTTGTCTTAGTAGCTTGATAGATAATGTATTGTCGATTGGGAGTAAAATATTTTGGGTTAGGGTTGTGATTCAAATAACAACACTGGGATGTGTGACATGTTCATCCAGACAGACAACAAGCCCCAAATTGAACGAAACATCTATCCTAGATTCCATTGATGGTCATACACTGACAATTTCCTTTTAGGCTTGTAATCGAATGGTTATATCGAAGCATTGAGATTACGATTCGTCAATGTCGAGACTAATGGACATCTGGTATATAACATCAGGCACTTAAGAATGAACAATTATTATTCCTCAAAGTTCTCAGTTTCTGGTCAAATTGATTGGTAATCTTTAAAAAACAATAGAAACGAACGAAAACGTATTGGTTGTTTCATGACCTTTATATAAATTTTTGATCAAACATTTATAGTACACTGATTGGGTTGAATTTTAACTGTTGGTAAGGGGTTTCTTTCTCATGAATGATTTTCAATAATACGTTTAATGAGTACAATTACCATTTTGATTACCTGCTTGGAAGGTAATAGATTATTTAAAGCTCTTTCGTTTGTTTAATGATCATGGTTCTGATGTTAAAGAAATTTCATGATAATCAAAACTCAAAAATTACCCTGCCCAACCCAATGAGTTTACCTATTTTCTGGTTGATGACTTTCTCTCTTTGAATTTACGATTTTGTCATATTTCCCATGATTACTAATATACTATAGAAAAAACATGTTAGTTGAGTTCCAATTTTCTTTTATCTGTATATGGTGAAACCTTTTTCTCTTTTCTTTCATTTCTGTCGTTAAAAAGAATAGGTTCGTGTCAGGTATCAGTAGTTTATATCAGGTGTGTATAAATATGAGAAATTACATTCCAACCCTTAACTGACCAAAATATAGGTACTTCACTATTTTCATCATACAAGAAATCTATTACTTTTTATTAGGTTGGAGTTCAACTAAAAAGTGTTGTCACTACCTTCAAGTGATAATTTGTGACGTTTGGTTTTCAAAGATATTTTCATTATAACTTGTTGTCATTTAAGGTATCAGTGAGAAACTTGGATGAGAAACTCAAAATAAGATAAGAATTGAAACAACTAGTTTACGATTTCTGAGCATTAAGTCAAAAATTAATGACTTTTATCTTCTACTGAATAAAATACACAACAGAAATACTTTTGTACAGTGTTAGAACGTATTAGGAAAGATTAGTTTTGTCGTCATAAATCAAAAATTTCAATCCTGTACGTGTTAAATACGAAGTTTACAAATACATACGATCAGTCAGTTTTCCCTTCAGCTTATTTTGTCTAGTATTTTTGCAGAGAAATTGTTTTCTCAGAAAAATAATGAGTAAATCGGTGAGCATAAAGTTTTTTTATATTGACATGGAGAGTACTGTAGTTCAAAGAATATAAACTGGAGTGTGGTAACGAAAGTAAAATGTGATCAGTCATTAGAGAGAGGTATAGAGAAATACAATACAGAAATTCGTACGTAAGTACATCAGTTCAGGTTGCCATACCACATCAGCACAGAGATGCAACTGTCAGTTCAAATCCAACAGTGTTAGCGATAGTAGAATTATTAGCAGTAATGGAGAAGATCAGGGTTCGAAGATATGATTCGAGAAGTATAATTCAGTGAGATAAATTTAGGAGGAGAAAGGTAGAGATTATGATGAATTCAGAATGTTAGAATTTGAGAGAACACAAAGAGTGGATGCATCTGCGCCATTGCAAACGATCCTGAGCCATATCGTTCAAGGTCTCTAACGATTGGTGACTTTCGTCTCGCGGACCCCAACCAGGTAGCCTACATCTACCAACATGATTCAGTTCACTTGTCAGTGATTTCATTGATTTGTGCCATGGTTTGGTTTAACCACCACTAGCTTTCATGCAACCTACTCCTACAACACAAACTACGCTCGTCAAAGTAGTCGGTGGTTGGTCATACGTAACACAGGTCCCACCCACCTCAATACTTCATTTATTGACCTGCCATCCCTACCTAGTACTTGCTTCCTGACTATAGCATTGCTTACTCGGTTGTACCAGGATATACGAGCAATGCTTTGAAGAAACCTATGATGGAAGACAAGCAATCTGCGAATGTCTTCTAATATTACAGGGCATGTTTCGCATCCATATAGTAGGACGAAGTGAACTACTGTACAGAAAACTCGTCCTTTAGTTAGCGATCGGATATCTTGCCTGCACCAAATGTGATGCAACTTGGCACAAGCCCATCAAGCCTGCTGTATCCGTGCTGAGATTTCGTCAGTCACCAGGCCATCAGAACTGATGAGACACTCCAGATAAGTGAAGCGGTCTACACACTCGACTACTTTACTCCCTATCACTAGTTCAGATACCGAGGCAACCCAGTCTTGAAGCAACATTTTGCATTTCCAGGGTGAGAACCGCATCCCGAACATGCTTGCATTGTTGCTTAGGGTGGTCAGAAGACCCTGCATTTTGTCAGCGTCTTCACCAAGTAGGACTATGTCATCGGCGAGCCACCTGGTAGAAGGTCTACTCCTGAAAATTCAGACGACGATAAGGTTATTTCTAGGAGCATGTCTATGATAAAATTAAACAAGAATGGAGAGAGTAGACATCCCTGACGGACACCACTTGAAGTAAAGAATTCCGATAACAGTTCGCGAGATCGAATTGGTCATAATCAAAACCTTAACACACACCCTAACATCTCTGTTATCTCCACGACTAACTCTTCTCATATTCCTTTATCACTTCTGCGTTGCATCTGTCTGTCTATCGTTTGCATTAGCGGTGCAGCGTCATAAAGTAATGTGAGAAGAGATTGTCGCTGGGATAATAGAGAGGTTAGGGTGTGTAGGAAGGATTCGATTGTGACCAATACGGTCTCGCGTGCTGTTACATGTATGAGGGCGGTTGTCACTCCCCGCCTGCCCACACCGTGGGAGGCTTTTTCTTGAGGAACCTGAAAATGAAGGTAGATTAGAGTTGTTCTTAACGACCTGGGACCGTGATCTCAGAGTCCAAGGTACAACTGCTTGAGGCTGGTCACGCACGGCCTTTTTATGAAAGGTTTTTTGAGGATTAGCTCCACTCTTAAAGGCCCTTAGTGGGCACCCTCACCGACGGAGACGGAAATCCGGGAGGTAGGGTGAGGTGTGACATTTTTAGGGTCGACGTTTTCTAACCCTTCCTTCCTTGTGAGAAGGCAGCATCGATGCAGACGCTGGTTATCTCAGGGAAACACCTTACTGCTGTCATACCCCTGTGCAGTCAGCAGTACGACTTCGCCCACAGACCTTGGGTAGCTGCTTTTAGTCTCATCGTTCTCCAATCGACCTGCCTGGCATGGTAGAACATTCAGGAACATATGTTGCAGCCAATATAGCTCAGTCATGTCATCACGATAGGCAAGCTAGAGCATCACGTTTAGGTAGGAGCTACGGTCGGGGTGATTGATCATTAGGCAAATGAAATCACATATTTAGTAGCTAGTAGACCAACTCCTTGTTTCTACATGCGTAATGATAGTGATTAGTCATTAGGTATGTGGAAAACATGATCTTCGTCTACTAGCTACTACTGATTTTCTTTCTTCATAT